ATCCAAGAACTGGCCAGCATGGAATAATGAAGTGTTAATTCTATGCTCTATGTGTATTTTATCTAATTGATAAGCCACATCCATGGCAGAATAATTTTCTTGCACCTAAAACATACCAAATGTTGGCGTGGTTGCATGGGAAAGAAGCAGAAGTGAAGAGACAGTGGTTTCTTAGACGCAACTGCACTGCAGAGTTTGGAGTTTCGTGGGATTACGTATTAGAAATTGTCTAATTCTAGGTCCACTACTTGTAGACATGGAAAAGACAGCAGGAACCTGGGGTCTGCAAGATAGAGTAAACAGAAAGGCACTGGAGCTAGGCTTTAATACTAAAAGAGCTTTCTGCAGGGACTGTAGTCGCTGTAATGTTTTTAGGGTCACACCCCAAGCTCAACACATGCAAGGGTGGACACTTACTTTACGAAAGGGTGAGCTTCGAAACTCTCCCGCTCTTCACCTGTAAAACGTGGGGCTCACAGGGTTCAGGGGCGCTACTGGAACAGGTTCCCTGCCTGCGACGGTGTCCTAGTGCCTTTGAGCTGAGACTGGGAAGGAAGAGGAAGCAGGAAGGTGCGAAGGGGCGTGGGAAGGGGCGCACTGTAAGCCAGCTGGACCAGACAACCAGGTTAGCACCTGGTTCCAGAGAGTGGGCAGCTGGCTTCCCCCTGGCCTTGCTGCCGGACCTAGTCTCTGGGCGTAGGAGACTTCTAGCCACCTGTCCAGCTCGGCTCCGGCGGCCCCACCCCACGAGGCGGAGCAGCTCTGCACCTCCCCAGCGTCCCGCACTTCTTTCCCTCTCCCCGCCTCCTTCCTCCCGGGCTCCACCCAGAGGGGCGGGTCTCCAGCGAGGGGGCGGTGGCCTTGGTACTGACCGAGACTCCCGGCCCCCGCGGCCCGCCACGTCCCGCACGTAGCGCTTGTCCGTGGCGCTGAGCTGCAGTCTGGTGCCGGGGGCTCCGGCTCCACCGGCGGGGCTCGGCATGAGGCTGGCGCGGCTGCTATGCAGAGCCGCCCTGGCTCGCGCGGGCCTCGGGCCGCGCTCCTCGGGCCCGGGTGCCAGCCGCAGCCTGGCCTCGGCCTCGGGCTCTGGGCCGGCGTCCGAGCGCGGCGTTCCGGGCCAAGTGGACTTCTACGCGCGCTTCTCGCCGTCGCCGCTCTCCATGAAGCAGTTCCTGGACTTCGGTGAGGGTGACCCGACCCTCGGGCCTTTGTACACTGTCCCGGCCCTTCGGAGCGCACACCTCCTCCCTCCCGTCGCCTCCCCCTGCACCCTGGGTGCTTCCTTCCTCCCTGGAGGGTGTGGGCGGTAACTCGGAGAGAGTCTTCTGTGTGGGGGAACAACAAAGCAGGAGGGCCGCGCGCCGCCGCCTGCAGCGCACGTGCGCAGGTGGGCGCCCGGGACCAGGTCCCTTCCTGAATGCCAGGCCGGGGCGCGCAGTGGCAATCGGATTCTGCAGAGACAAGATCAGTGCAGTCACACGAGGACTAAGACTGGCCTGGTGATAGGAAAGCAAGTTCCTACTGGCCTGGTGTTTCTTTAGCGCGTCTTCCTTGCAGTGGTTTAAGCGTTTCCACCAACAGCAAGTTCATTTCATCAGCAGTGAGTCAGTCTCCAGCACTTGTGAAGTGCAGGAGGCCAGAGGCTGTGGTGTTCATCACGAACCAGCAAGATTTTTGTCTGCGTGTGACAAGAGTGTAGAAGGAACTACAGAATTAGGCATTTGACTTCAGGAGTGATGAGAGGGAGGGGAGAGGAAAAATTCTAAATACTCACTCCAACATTAAAGTTACAAAGTTTTGGAGAAGAAGTTATCTTCAGCGTTGTGTTGTCAGGTCATAAGAAGGTTAGTTAGCAGGCTTAAGAGATAACCAGCATGGCTCCTCAGGAACCCCATTTGTACTTTGGAGTGGCAGGCGGATTTTTTTCCTGCTTTTTTTTTTTTTTTTTTTTTGAGAGGGAGACTGTACTGTTGCAGGGGTGTTCACCTTGTCCCAAGTATGCCAAAGTATGCCATTAAACTTTACAAGATGTTTTCTGCTGATGACAAGGTAGCTTTTGATAGTTTCATCTGCTAGAGTAGGAGGATTGAGTTAGAAATGTGAAACAATGTGGCTTTTTAGTTCAAGTGAAGCTGGTCACCAAGAGACACTACAACTATCCAGCTAAACATCTGGATACAGAAGTGGAGGAAGGGGCAGGTGACTTTCCATAAATCTGACAATTAGTAGGTCCTCCTTGAAGGTAGCTGAAGTGGTATTACTGGTCTTTGCCTTCTGCAGGTGAAAACCCTTCTCTGCACTCTTTTAGGGTGATTAGTATTTGTGGTTTGCTATGAAATAGGCGAATTGGCATGCACAGGTCAAAATTTCCCTGTCTTAGGCATTCTATGAATCTACTTAGGAAACAGAATTTCTGGGTGATAGCAGCAGTGGGGTATATAGAATAGGATTTTTCCCATTTCTACTGATGGGCTCTGAGCCTTACTCGTCAGATTATTTTAGTTCTAACATAGACTGTAAAGGTGATGGCAAAGGGTATAAAAAAGTGCCTTAAGTATTGTACTGAGCCATTGGAACGGTCGTCCTAGATTGTGGGTAGCTTTAGAGACCAGTTGTCTCAACCTCTCCCTGCTCAGGCCTGGATTCTTTGCTTCCTAGACCCTTCTTAACTATGGTAATTCTGTCTTTCCCACCCCATGTCTCCCTGGCTTCTGATACCACTTCATCACTTCTACTTACTGCTTTCCCTGCTGTGTTTGGTTTCAGGATCAGTAAATGCTTGTGAAAAGACCTCATTTATGTTTCTTCGACAAGAGTTACCTGTTAGATTGGCAAATATCATGAAAGAAATAAGCCTGCTTCCAGATAACCTCCTCAGGACCCCATCTGTACAGTTGGTGCAAAGCTGGTAAGATTCCCATCTTGTGTTTACAGTGTCAGTAGACCTGTGGATTTTGTTCAAGGTTAAAGCAAATGCTGTTTTACTCTTCAGTAGAATCTTAAGGCAGTAACAGTATTTCTGCTGTGTGCGTGTGTATGTGTGTGGGGGGGGCGGGGCTTCTTTTCTGAATACCCGGCTTCATTAAAACTCCTTGGTTTTGCCAAGTGTGTGCACACCTTTAACCCAGCGCCTGGGCGAGGGATAGAGTTGGGGTAGAGGCAGGTGGATCTTTGTGAGTTTGAGGCCAGCCTGTCTACATAGCAAGACCCACAATGAGACAAAAAAAAAACAAAACAACAAAAAAAACCAAACAAACAAAAAACCAACCCTCTCCATATCCCTTGTTTTTGAGAAAACTAATCAGGTCTGCATAGAAATAAAGACACTAAGTTTTTAAAAAATTATTTTTATTTTATGTGTCAGTGTTTTGCTTGCCATGTATGTAAAATGCACAGAGTGCATGAAATGCCCATGGAGGCCAGAACAGGGTGTTGGATCCTGCAAAACTGGAGTTATGGACAACTGTAAACTGCTGTGTGGGTGCTGGGAACCAAACCCTGGCCCTCTGGAAGAGCAGTCAGTGCTTTCTCACTGCTGAGCCGTCTCTCCAGCCCCTCAGATACTAAATTTAAGATTTATGTTGTTGTATCTGTAGGAGTGTTACATTCTAAAGAGAAAAGTATAGTATTGATGGCTGTATATTTATGTTTCCTTTTATCCCTCCAACCTTGCTTGTTAGCCTTTTTCTGGTAAGGAAGCTGTGACACTAAAGGGCCTTTGTCTCAAGCACTGATAGTGGAGCTGTGGAATTCAAGCCCTATTTGCCTGTCTCCACTCTACTATAATGATAATATTCAGGGGTGTGGGTATCTTATAAAGTGAATTTATTTGTTGAAGTTTATCTTTTTATAAATGAAAAGCTATGAGCCGGGATGTAGCACAGGTGATAGAGTGCTTGCTTGGCATGCACCAGGCCCTGGCTTCAGTCCCCCAGCATTGTATAAACCAGTGGAGGTGGCACACGCCTATAATTCCAGCACTCCTAGGACGTGGAGGTAGAAGGAGTGCTTGAGACCCCTCCTCATACTACGACAGAAACCACCTTTATTCTTCTGTTTTTTTTTTTTTTTTTTTTTTTAAAAGGTGCTCCCAGGCATTAATGAGTTCAGTGTGATAGTGCAATATGTGGTCACCTATCTGTGGACTTTGTTTTAAATGTTATTTAATTTATTTAGTTAAATTTTTTTTTATTACGTTTATGCATTTTTATTTTGTGTGTGTGTGTGCATGTGTGCCACAGAACACAGGTAGAGGTCAGAAGACAACTTTTGGGTGTCTGTTCTTTCCTTCCACCATGTGGGTTCCTGGGGTTGAACTCAGATATCAGACCTACCTAGCCATCTCACCAGCCCTCTAGTTAGTTTTTTCTTAAGATCTCCCAGTGTAACCTAGACTAGCCTAGAACTCACTATCTAGCCCTGGCTGACCTGGAATTTGCAACCAATCTTTCTGCTTTCACTATAGTGCTGGGTTATAGGCTTGTGGCACCATATCCTGCTCAAGAATTGTAAAAATGTTATTTTTTACTTTAAAAAATACATTATTATTATTGTGTGTATTAGGGGGAGGGCATGTGTGTGGAGAAAAACTTGCAGGAATCAGTGTTTTCCTTCCACCATGTGGCTCCCAGGGATGGAACTCAGGTTGTCAGGTGTTTGGCCTCTAAGCCCTCTTGTTGACCCTTCTTGTTTTGAGCTAAGGTCTCACTGGCCTGACTTGGCCTGGCACTGGCCAAACTGGGCTGACATCAAACTTGCCTCCTGAGTACTGTGATTACAGAAATGTGCTACATTGTCCAACTAAAAGTGTTATTCTTTTAAATACACACACATACACACTTTTTTGGAAGAGCTGGCCAGAGTTAAATATTAAAGAAAAACTTCAACTGCAAAACATATCCCAATTTGATTAATGGAGATCTTGTTTTCTGTTTATAGGTATTATAGTTTGTGAGCCTAGCTGAACTAACATTAGTTTAAAAATAAGCAAAGAAGGACTGCTTTGTATGTGATCACCAGAGACTTGCTAGACTAAGTGTGGAGCAGTTGCAAATACAGTTTAAGAGGCATTGGTCTAGAAAGTAGAGTGTTTGCCTAGCATGCACAAAGCCCTGAGTTTAATTCCCAGCACTACTTAAAACTGGGCTTGGTGACACATACTTATAATCCCAGGACTTGGAAAATGGAGGCAATAGTTAGAAGTTCAGGTTCACCCTCTACTATGTAATGAATTTGAGGCCAACATGGCCTACAATGAGACCCTGTCTCAAAAAGAGAAGTCCTGCTTCAGCCATATTTATAGGAGTATTCTAAATTTAAAATTATAAAATAATTTAAATACATTTTGTGCTAATTTCACAAGCTGTAACTTTTGAAATATAAAGAGGAAATTGAACTCTGTTGATTTGCATTTTAGGTATATCCAGAGCCTTCAAGAGCTTCTTGATTTTAAGGACAAAAGTGCTGAAGATCCTAAAATTATTTTTGAGTAAGTATAATAGTATGATCCTATTTTGAATGCAATTTTTATATCTTTTAAACATAGAGAAGTATAAATGTGTTAAGCTTTGCTTTGCTATTGGACTAGACTAGGGAAGCAAATTAACTTTTTAGGTTCCCATACTATACAATATATGGTACTATATGTATTTATATTAGGCGCCCATACTATCCAATATATGGTACTATATGTATTTGTATTAGGCAACACCGGTAAGACAACATAAATCAGGACCCTGGACTGGGTGTAAGAAATGCTTCATGTTCCTCACTACAAAAAAGACAAAGTTCAGGTGTGATGATAGTGGAAATCAAGATGTAGTCTCAATACCAATTGGACTGGTTAACCTGGGAAGGGCATTCAGGTTCCAAGGTGTGGCCCAGTGTCGTGCCACATGGTGGCAATGCCTAAAATAAAAGCAGCTTGACTCTTAGTGTCCGCTTTAGCCAAGAGGGGACCTGAACTGCTCTGAGAACCTGTTCCTTCAGATTACTCTCAGAACTGGGCTCTTGAACAATGGCTTTTTTTCTCTCTTTATTCAAACAGTATCCCACCATGAAACAGGAAAGGAAAAGTGGACTTTTATCACCAGAGGATTTTTGTCCCTTCTGATGCTGTTGACCTAGGACAGCATGCGTACAACCACAAACAAATGTTACCAATTTAATCCCATCTGTTGTTTGCAACACAAATGGGATAATCTGTTACTTTTAACAAATCTCCTGTAGTACTTAATATACAAAACACACACATACACCTCCCCCCCACATGTGTGCATGTGTAAATGCATTGTTTGAGTCAAGGGCAAGGAAAGGTCATGAGGGATTAAACCTATATGTTTTAGGTCACAAGAGGCGCACAAGGTTTTGTAAGCTTGTTTTGCATTATAAACAAGCTGAGATAGCGCTAAATGACCTCAACATAAGATTAACTTTTTGGTTGCAAAGTTAGGTAAAAGTCATTTGTCCAGAACATGTCCATGTTGTAAAAGTCATTTTAACACAAAGGGACAGCCACCCTCAAGTGCCCACAGATCATTACTGTGTGCAAATGCTGCCCAGATAATCTGTATTTTTCTGTTTTTTTTTTTTTTTTTCAATCTTTTTGAGACAGGCTCTCCCCGTAGCCCCAGCTGGACTGGAACTCACTGTGTAGACCAGGCTGGCCTTGAACTCACAAAGATCTGCCTGCCTCTGCCTCCAAAGTGCTGGAAATAATGGCTTGGACTACCACGCCTGGCTCTCTCTTACATTTTTAATTACTGAAGCAAAGAAAGGAGGTGCTGGAGTGGCAGTTTGTGGCCCACCAGTGGCTGTGGCAGAGACTAGGCTGGGGACTTTGAGGCTTCATTCATTTTGCAGCCACAATGGTCACTGTCAAATATAATTTTGATGCAGCAGTGGAAAAAGCAGAAATCACATCTGTACATACCATGTTTAATTTTTAAAAAATTTGGTATGTCTGGGGCTGGAGAGATGGCTCAGTACTTAAGAGTACTGTCTGCTTTTGCAGAGGCTGCTCTTGCAGAGGACCCAGGTTCAATTCTCAGCACCCACATGGCAGCTAACAAGTCTGTAACTCCAGTTCTAAAGGACCTGATGCTCTCTTCTGACCTCTGAAGGCACTGCATGACACAGGTGTACTTACATACACACAGGCAAGCCAGGTGTGGTGGCGCACTCGGGAGGCAGAGGCAGGCGGATCCCTG